GTGCCATCAATTTACCTGTGACTCATAGCAACCATATGTACCATATCCTGAACTATTCTCACTGACTCTGACACACCTACTCCTATTACTCCATTACTGTGTCAATCCATCTCATGTGGGGTCCTATAATTTAGAATTCCATATTGCCTGTGTGTGACAGTTCATAGATCATGAAGGAGAACTGACAGACTAAGACTTAGTAGATTTTGAAGGTTTTAAAAAAATGCAGAAAGAAGAAATAATAAGGAAGATGGAAAGAAGTAACATTTTTTACAGTAAAAGGGCAGCTGAAGTTTCTCTAAACTAAATTCAAGGCTTCATTTGCTTGAAAACATGGACCCAAACACTGATCACTTTGTTAAAATTAAGAGACAAATTTGAGCAGCAGTGAGATGTTACTACAAAACATATGAACCAAAAAAGTAAAAGATTATATAGATAACTTACTAATTTTATGACTAGACAATCTATCCTTATTCCCAGGATAATCCAGATAATTCAGGAACTTGACAATCAACAAAATGCCAACATAAATCAATTTCTTATCATCAGAGTAAATTATAATGCTTATATAGCATGTATTAAAAATATATCTAAAAATGTATATGTAATGTTTACAACTCTGGTGACAAATACAAATTATATTTATAAGGATAATTCTAACAAAAGGCAATAACAATGAAAACTGGAAAAAAGAAATAAAATGTTAAGTTTATATGTGAACTGACTTATGATGAGAGTCATGGAATTGAATCCATAAGAAAACTTGGGACTACCTGGATACCAATATTCTTAGATCTTTTAATCTGTATTTTCATATCAATTTAGGTATTAATATTATCATACAATAACACATTTAAGCAAAAATTTTAAAGTCATACCTGAGTATCTTCTCTCCAATTGCTACTAGTTGCATCTTCCTCATTTTTACAAGGACAGTGACTTAAATGGATTGAAAAATTTAAAAGACATTAAAACATGATTCTGTGAATATGAATTTTTCATATTTTAGAAACTTTATTTGATAGCCTATAGGTATAAATATAACATTTAAAAATATTTGAAACAAAAATGTCATCTTTCAAACCAATTAATATAAATTGCCTTTAAAATAAAAACACAAGCTACTGTAGCCTTGTTGATTGTAACCCAGGGAAAATTTCCATCTAGTTCTTGAGCCAGTAAATCTTTATGGGAGGAAACTACCATATATTTAATCCTTCAGAGTAGCTGGTGGATTGAAATCATTGACTTCTGGGTTAGAAGTCTTTTTGCATTTAGTATATATATTGCTGATATTTCATTATACTTGGCACCAGTAGCCAGGAAATCAAAAAACATATTACGATGGGAAAGTCTGCTTGTTAGGGACCTCTCCAAAGTACTGAAGAGCAATGGTGTAACTCTGGAGACTAAGGTGCTTCTATTATAGGCTATGGTCTTTGCAATCACTTATTATACATCAGAGAGTTGGACAATGATTAGGAAGGATAGAAGGAGAATTGATGCCTTTGAGCCGTGCCGCTATAGAAGAGTATTGAATGTACCATGGACTGCCAAGAAAACAAACAGATTCAACCCGGAGAGGGTTAGACCAGGCTGCTCCTTGGAGGCAAGGATACTGGGGCTTTGTCTTACATACTTTGGACATGTTGTAAGGAGAGACAGGTCCATGGAGAGGGACATCATGCTTGTGAGTGTGGAGGGACAGAGCAAGAGGGGAAGGCCCTCTATGAGGTGGATTGACTCGGTGACTGGGGTAATTGGGATGGGTGTGTCAGAGGCAGTGTGATTGGCACAGGACAGAGCAGGTTTTCAGGCTGTTGTACATAGGGTCACTACGAGTCACAGGCGACTCGATGGCACAAAACAACAACATAGAGAAATCTGAATAATAATGCAACATCTATACCAAGATAAAATCATCATGAGTATTAACAATTCTATTGCATTTTTTGTGAATGATTATTTATAAAATCTCTAACTTAATTTCAAGAGAGAGGGGGCTCTTGTGGCCTGGAGGTAAGAAGCTATGCTGCAATCCCAAAGTCATGTGGTTTCGATTCACCAGCCACTCTATGGGAGAAGAATGGGCAATCTCTTCCTGTGCGATTTACTGCCTCTGAAAACCCACTGGAGGGTCAGCTATGGGTCGGTTCCCACTTGGCAGTAGACAATAATAATAACAAATACAAAACTGTTGTTTAACATATTATTTTGAATGACATTATATTAATGTGCAACTCTGATTAGTTCTACCAATCAAAAAATCAAAGAGAAACAGAAAGTTTGGTCCAATTCTAAGTCAAACCAAGACAGGAAATATTTTATGCAAAATACAAAAATATTTTTTTATAAAATATAAAAAAAATTTAAAAAGATTGCAACAGAAATAAATGTATGGAAAAGAGTAATAAATACCATTGGGAAAACATCAGTAAATAGCAATATTTATTGAGATTAAGGTGTTCATAACAAAAAGTAATTTCATTCATTTCTTTGCTCTAATTTGAAGTCTTGTATCAGTATACAAGGAACTCTGGCGGCTTAGTGGTGAGGAATTGCACTGCGAAGGCAAAGGTATGTGGTTTGAATGTACCAGCTGCTCCATGAGAGAGAGATGGGCACTCCCCTCTAAATTTACTGCCTCTGAAAAGCCACCAGAGGTTCAGCTATGGATCAACTTCCAACTCAATGGTCTATAGTAACAACACATCAGAATTTTGGCTTAATTATCCACCTCTCCACTGCCAATGAGTTGATTCAACTCATAGTGTCTCTGTAGAACAGAAGAGATTAGAACTGCCCATAGGGTATGGAAGGCTGTAACTCCTTAAGGAAATCAGCTGCCTCTGTTGGTGCCCCACAGGAATGAAGTGTTAACTTTTGGATTAGCAGATTAATTTTTAAACTACTGTGTCATGAGAGTATAATATTTATAATCAACATCTATGCTAATTACCTGGTCTCGTTGCTAAAAGAATCAGTATTTGAATCTTCCAATGATCTTGGCAATCCAGAATTTTGAATTTTCTTTTTTCCAGTTTGGCTTTGTTTTGGAGTAATTTTCCCCTTTGCTGATGTTGATGTTCACCCATGGTAAATAAATTTCATATCAACAAGATAATGTTAAGATATAGCTTTGTGTCAATATTTACAAACTATGATTTGGTCCTATTCTTTTTTGTAGTCCTATATTTTACAACCTCAAACATGACTTATACATTACATAAGGAAACAATTTCCAAAATAATTCTTGTGAGATATTAAATTCTGTGAGAAGTTTTAGGTAAATTCAATATAGAAAATTTTATATTGAGTAACACTGACACATGCCTTAATAACTGGCCAAGGTGTACAGTGTTTGGTGGAGCTCCCAGTTTAAGACAGGTTTGGAAGCAGGAGTGGCGTTCATTTCCTAAACCACATGCCTTTGGTAACTCCATGAACTTGGAGAAATGATGATAGCTATAGAAAGACCTCAGGTTTTTTTTGTTCATAGAGTCGCTATGAGTAGTTCTCGACTTGACAACAATCAACAGCAACAATCTGACACCCTCACACACATTCACATACATTAATTGCAAGATTTATCAGCCAAAAACTGATACACTATAAATGTATAAAAGGAGATAACATTTTGCCCAAATACAACCATCTTCAGGGATATTTTGCCAAAAGCTTTTGTTAAGAAATCTTCCTCAGAAAAGGCTGTTATTTGTTATTACTAACAAAGCATGTGACATCATTGGTTATTTCACATACATTTCCAATTATAAAGTTATCCTTCATTCTATATGCTATAGTCAAAACATTTAACATTAATATTCTGTATTATTAATTTTCAAATACACTTGCACCTGATAATGTTAATGTAAAATATTTTTCTTTGGCGAGACCAATTTTATTTTGATTTAAGAAGAAAAGAGTTGAATTAATATTTGTAAGGTTATTTTCAAAGGTTGCTACAATATTTTGATACATGGGTTCAAAGAAAAACCTAAAGTTAATATTTGTTTTAGTTTTGTCGCTATGATTTATTCACTAATGGCATTGGAAAAATAACTGAAAAAACAATAAAGTATTTTTTAAAAA